TAACATATTTGCATTTGTGTACAACAAGTTATGAATGATATGTTTACAAATGAAAATGGTTTATCAGAATGTATTATAATCTTTGATTTTTATATTATTTTAAATCCGTTTTGATAATGTAGCATATACTATATTATATAATATTAAAAGTAATATAGGTATTTAAGCTTAGATTTTTACGGTGGAGTATTGATTTCAATCACTAAACATCGGTAGCATATAATACTGGAAAAAAATCGAAAATTGTATAAACTCGAATTGTCGTAAATGACTTAAACGATTTTGTTCTTTATTACACAATTTACGAGCCCGTAATAATTGGTGGATGAAGAGATTGGACTATCGATTATACAAGTAAAGAAACCTCAAGTACGGGCGTGGTAGTTGGACTGGATAATAATATTATAATAATATGTCTAGCCAAACAACTGTCAGCCGATTTGGTGAATTCAAGTTACAAAAATAGCCATCGAGTTTTCATTAAGGTTATATAGTAACATACGTATTCAATTTACGCAACTGGAATCCATATAATATAAATTCATTTAAGAAATCACAATAGACTCATAAAACCATGAATTTCGGTAAAAAAAAAAAAATAAATTAAAAACACTCCTAGTGGTTTATTCTTACTCGAGTATTCGAAATACTGCTCAGATATATATAAAAAAAAAAAAAAAAAAATATATTTAATATGAAGATACGTGAAATGTATATAACACATAAGAATTTGATTTCAAAGTATATAGGAAGAATACACTACCTACTTTTATATTTTATCGTACTCATATTCTACAATATAGTTACATCAAATAAAAAATTTTAAAATTATTTGTTTAAATATTAAGTCATATATTATAACATGATTAAATTATTAAATCTATGCATCGCTTTATAATTTTACTTTATTTAAGTATATTTCACGACGAGTATTCAATTATAACATACAGCGGAGTTAAATTCTGTGTCTTTTGGCCTTAAACAAAATCTGATATTTATCTGTCTTGGGGTAGAAAAACTTTTCTTAGCTAGATGTATTATTAATGTCCATGTTGAAAGAAGTTTAAATACTGTGGGGTATATCATATTTTGCTCATTTTAAGCTATTATTAATGTTGAATGTAAATAATTATAAGATATAAAATTATAAAATATTATCGTATTATATAAAACTTAGTGTAAAAACCAAGAAGTATTTGGATATTAAATATGTCTCGAAAAAAAATGATGTTTGTTAGCGGCGGTCCATGTAGAGGTCATTTACGGATGCGTTTCCGTGATATATAGAGTGATTAACAAACAACATTACATTTCATTATATTTTTCTTTTTCAATAACATAGACATTCAAAATCTGAATTTTTAGAAATTTAAAATATTCTTAAAGAATATAATATTTTCAAATTTTTAAGGATGATAGGTACATTAATATGGATTTGGAAATTTGGGAGCTACCTATAATATTTTTAATATATTGGTAATTTACATTTATCTATCAATATTTATAATTTATAAAAATGGTTCAAGTATAATAAACACCAGATCCGATATTACATACGTTTTATGTATTTTAAAACAGTTTTTAAGGACAAAAAAAAAAAATTACTTAAAAAAAAAGTATTTAAAATAATACTACAGTGTTTGAGTAAATTCATTATTAAATCAAAAAAAAAAAAAAAGCCGAGAATGAGCATGCTTGGTGAATCACTTTGTATATTATTATTGTGTAGAAATGCTTTAGAAGTGCACTCTTCGACCGTGTGCATGAACAACGACTAGACATTATACATTATTGTAAATTTTCAAGCGTAAAATATCCAATACAAATCGGCAACATCAGAAATGCGTTCCGGTCAGATAACACGTGCGCCGCTGAAGTCATTTTTGCCTGAAACCCTATTTACTGTGACAAATAAGAGATGCAATACCCTCATGTATTCGCTTGTTGAAAAAGTAAGAGAATAACAATGGTAATAATAATAATAAAAAAAAAACAACTTTTAAAATACAATTACCTTTTTTGATACGTTTATTGTTGCAACTGGGAAAATGTTCGGAAGCGTTTATTGGTATTGTCGGTGAGTTGGCGATCAATGACTATTATATTCTCTCAATAACGTTTTCATTAACGGCGATACCGCGCAGCCTGCCGGGACAAAATACACACACATACACACACACGACGTAAAATCAAAGTAAAGGCAATCAACAACTGGTGAGTTTCAATTTAAACGTACTTCCACCATTGTTTCCGACTTGTTGAAATTATTTTTTCAACCTTTCAACGTCGAGTTTTCGGATGCCTATACTCGAAACTTTTGATTTTATACAGTATATTAATGAAACCAACGTAGATATCGACAAACATAATAAATTGGAGGTACGTTTAATTTCGGATGAAAATTAAAACGGCGAATTTCTACTGGTACTCATAATATTATGATATGGAAAAAATCTTATAATGGATATTATTTCTACATTTTTACATATTTAGTTTCAACACGACAATGATATCGTGCAGCATTGGAAATCAGTGGATTTAATTCATATTACCATTTCACGTGCCCCGAAATCGTTTATTTGCTTTACCGCATTTAATAATCTAAAGCAATTATAATAAATAGTATCATATTTTTCTTGTAATGTAAACTGAATAGAATAATTGTTATCATCATTAAAAATCTGACGACATAAAACTTAAAAACGACTGAAGTTTTGTAAATATTGAAGCAGTTCACAATGTTCATTAATTTTATTGTCGTAAGTGTGGTACAAAACTTAGCAGTAAGAAATTCATGTATTTTATTTTATTTTATTTTTTATCTGTCAATAAAATACATTCTAAAGTATTAATTCATATAGTAAAACAAAAAGGTACAATGACTTTATAATATTATAAAAGTTTATTATACTTTGACTAGTTAATAATAATCATTCCGCTTCATCATAATTCACCTTCACTTATTTAATATTTCAGGTTAGTTCTTACAACAAATTTATTAGTGAAACTACATATTTAAGATATTATATTTTAATTGAAATAAAACAAGACTATTATACTTCGTTTACCATATTGTACTATACTGTGCAGCGTTTTTTAATTTAGTAATTTGTGACTGAACGAATAATTCTCGTATATATAATATACACACACATATTATATATATATTATTGTTATTAATTAGTATTATAATATAATTTACAACCAAATAAAAGTATGAATTACCTTTTATTCAATTACTCGAAGTTTAGTTTGAACCTAGTTCCTTTTTTTAATTAAATTCAACATCGAGGTTACAAACTAACTTTAAATTTTGAGTGGAGCAATAAATGTATTGATTTTATTGCAATGATTGGTGTATTTTTTTTTCAGTCTGTCATCACTTTTTGAGGAAGTAAAATTGGATCAATTTTCAACTTTGGGGATGGTTTAAGCTAAAAACGTGGGTGTAATTGGTACTCTCAAGAGTAAAATATAATAATTCTCAGTTTTTTTAAAGTAAAATTAAAATAAAACGAGATTTTTTACTAGTTTTTGATAGTTTTTTGGTTTAACTCAAAAATGAATAACTGTATATACTTAACATTTTTACCAAATATTTATATTAAAATTTCTTACAAATAGTTTATTTTTCTAAATATTTAACTCATTTTGAGTTATTTATAAATAATATATATTTTTTTTCTAAACATGAAGATAAAAGTATATTCGAATTGTCAAAGTTCTTGAAAATTTAATATAAAATCTTACTTAAATTTTTCTTATACATGTAACAATTATTAAAATTACATATTCATTTGAGGTTCAAATGCTTATGAAAGGTTTCAAAACTATGAACATTTACAAGCTAAAAATATTTTAAAGTAAAATTTAAAAATCATTAACTTTTATAGATCAGATTTTAAAATATAATACAATATTTCTTATAAATAGTTCATATATTATTATTAGAACTAAAAAAATCTAAAAAAATATAATAACACATTTTTTTTTTTTTTTATAGCTAAATTGATACAAAATTACATTTTGTAGGTAATGATAAATGACGATGTTAATTTTTTTTTTTTATGTTAGAAATATTATAAATTAGAATACAAAAATACTATTTGTGAACACTTAAAACTTTTAAGCTTATTATAAATTTACTAAACGTAATGATCTTTTTCAAAATATGTAAATTAATTTTAAAATATTTTATCATGAAAATGTTCACGCTGCTTTACGGTAAGGTGGAACTAAATTTTGAAAGTTAATAACAACAATATTATATGGTATAAATATATTATATTATTATAACAATTAATAACATATTAACCAATGTAATATTTTCGAAAAAAATAATTCATCTATCGTAAATTGAACGTAGTATTGATAGTAAATTTTAAGAAGGTATATTAAAAAACATATTATGTAATTTTCTTAATGATATAGTAATTTTTTTTTTTAATAGTTTTTTATATACAATGATAAATTATTAAATTAAAATTTCACATATTCATTACAATACCCCACTAGACACTTAATACACATCTGAGTAATAACCACCTGCCAATTTCTTGAATTTAAATTTAAAAAAATCTTGAGTGTAAACATTTAAGTATTGAATTTGTTCGACTTAACTTTAAACATAATTTGTATTTAAACTGATGTAACCTATATCAGCTTCTATAATATTAAAAAAAAAAAAAAAATATATCTAAAGAATAATTTTAATATAGTCGTTTATTTGTTTTGGAACCTAAGTTGAATAAATAGCTTAAAATCAGTTTTTATAATAATATACAAATTTAAAGCGTAAATAGCATATAATACATAATAGTTTATGAAATTATAAGATCCTTGTATAATGATATTAGATAAAATATATTTTAATTTTGATACCTATAACATTATTTTTTTAATTTGTAATATTTATGAAGCCTTCAATATTATGATATTATGTATACTAGAAAGTAAATACTCATATAATTAAAATCATAAATAATCTATGTTACTCTTACCTTTTAATCACAATAGAGTTATGGTGAAATAAATTCTTCTCAAAATCAAGTGTCATCATCGACATCACCTAAAATAATAATTTTATTATATGCGCGGAAAAGAAAAAAACAAATAGTAAACTAGTTTAGTGTATCTGTTTAACTTGATTGCATAAGCAATTATATTGACGATGCGCAGTGTGCACTGACTTATATAATAATAGTATAGACGTTTAATATCATAACGAAAGTCTAGAAACAGTAGAAACATAAAACAAACGGAAAAGTTTTGTTGTTATGTGTGTTTATTTCTATATTATGTATATCAAAGTACAAAACTAATTTATATTATGAAAAACATTATGTTTTTGAGTTTGTGAAGAGTCGAAGATTCATATTACAGAAAGTAGAAAAATGTAAATCAATAATAATAATAACAACAAAGCTTTAATTTAATATATTGTGAATGCAATGTACGAAAGTATACTGTTTTTTTTTTTTTTATAATATCATTCGTATCATGATAATAATTTTTTGTTTATAATGGACTATTTATGTAACATCAACTCATTTCACCTCAGCTAACCTTCAAATTCTGAGATCTACTAGTCAGTTATCTTTTGCATATGATTCGAAATATAATATGATTTATTTGAACATTAAGTAAATATGAATATATACATAATTTCAAACGAAGATTCATTCAAAAACACTCGTCTTAAGCATGACTCGTTTGTTTGCTTCTGACCAGAATATAGTAAAGATTTATGTTTTTAATTGCAAATATATGATTTTCAGAAACAGAAAATCATGATTCCGAAAACTGTTCGTTACTAATTTCTTCATTTCGTATATCAATCAATCGCGTGTGACTGATACTAAGACAATTGAATCCATTAGTTATATTTTCGTTATTATTGTTATTTTTTATTCCTGATCGGTTGATCGTTGTTTTCTACGTTAAAAATCGAGGTTGTAGTGATAAGGTATTTTTCAATAATTTAACTTTTGGATTATCATTTGTAAGATATTATACACTAAACAGTTGCTAAGATTGTTGAGTGATGTACTGTCTCATATCCCAAAAATAACCGAGTCGTATGAGTGGTGTAACAATCTTTTTTCACTAGCTAAAAAGCACTATGCGTGAAGCGTTTGTAGAACTTTTTTGTTATGTCGTCTGACAAATACTTCCATCAAATACTCTTATACATAATCATTCTGTGAATCAAGCTAAGACTGACTATTAAAGGAAAGAGTCAAACTGGTTTTATGTTGATACATATTATTTAGTATATTTATTGTTGTTCGGCACGTCAAAATACAATTTCTCCGTAAGAACAGTATATACGTAAATAGGTTATTGTCATTATGCAATCCTTTATTTTTGTTGTACAAATAACTCTGCACATACCTAGATGAAATATGAAAATAAAATTACAGAAAAAACGCCATTTATCTAGTGAAATATAACTAAAGAAATTAAAATATAACATTTGAAATCGGATAATACAGAGTGTAAAAATCAGAAACCTTATTGATTTATATATGTAATAAAAGTAAATATTACTTAACTATTGTTTTTTATTCAAATGAACATCAAACGTTGACGTAAATTTGTTTTTAATTTATGAACTTGACTAAAATATTAAATACTTGTTTTTCAAGTACAAAACGTGTATACGTATAAAAAGATAAGAAACACAAAAACTGATATTGAACTGTGGTTCGCTAAGAGCAATATTTTAGAGCCTATTTATTAACGAATTTCAATTAATAGACGATATTGATTGAATATTAACACCTGAAAATAGAAACTTATAAGATTATTCGATTCACAGGTGAAATCATATTATGATCTGTTTTATTAACATAAAACAAAATCCGTAACATCCACTCATGAGTTTAGGTGAAGAAAAGTGAAAGTAAAGTTAAACAACCTTGATCACCAAAAGGCTATATACTTGTCAAGAACGATATTATTGAGTACATTTTATAAAATGGTATATATTATAGTAACAGTTTTGTGGGATGGACGAGCACAGTGCATTTGAATATTTCGTTTTTTTCCGAAAAGGTCGTTTTTTTAAAATTTAGAGTTTATTGAGGTGAAGATCCTGTTGACTCGTTGTGTCGACTATTCCTGCATACCATATACCATGTACGTGCGGTTATTATGCAGCGTGATCATCGTACAAACTCGTTCAGTGCTCGGCGGCGCCATCCGTAATGAATTTCCATTACTTATAATTGAAACAATAAAAACGCCTGCCGCCAGGACAATGGCGATCAAAGGATGCGTGGGCGTGAGGACGACTGGCGCCACGGTTGTTGTCCTTATTTTCGCAGACTGGCGTGTGGCCAACGTCGACGACAACAACGACGATGGTACACTGTGGCAAAAGGCTTGAGGTTTTCGTGAAGTGTAAAGTACGTATCGTTTTTGTCATTTAAATAATTATCATTATCCTTATAGTTATTATTAAATTTAACGTTATCATAAAGTGTATGTTATCCTTATCCATACGGTTAATGATTATGTTAAAATTGAGGAACTTAAATGGTACCAATGGTACTGTTTTAATTGTTATAGAAGACTATTGGTCTAATAAAATCATAAAAGATAAGTTTAATACAAAGTATTATACAAATACAAAAAAGGTAAAATGATTAATGTGATTGCATTAATTTAAATTGTGTAAATTATAGGGGTGTTCTATGATTTCATAACAACTATATGAGAAAATTGTTTTAATTCGAATATAAAATGCTCATAATCCGAATTGGAAGAGAAATTATTTTCTTTAAAATATAGGTTTTGGATTCCTTTTTTTTTGTTATTGTTATCAGTTTACTTTGAGTAAAACTATACTATACTACTGTTGTTTATAGTTAAATTACTTAAATGTATAACTACGCATATTCGCAGTCAGATTTCCGTAGTGTCTTCATCTGTTTTATGTAATTATCATGTACGAGTATAATACTAATAAATCTTTTGACTGTCTCACTGCAGTAATGTGAAGTATACTGTCTACATTACCAATATATTTTATGTGTGTTTGCAAAGACATCAATATAAGAAAAGGACAGTTATTTTTTGATAAAAACGTTCAGCAAACATTAAAATCAGTACCATGGAAGATTAAGTGCGTTTTTCGTATAGTATTCAAAAAACGCATAAATTATTTAAAAAATTGGTAATTATACCTTTATGCTTATATCTTATATTTTTTGACCTAGCGTCACAAATAACATTTTTTTTGTTTCATTTAGGGCTCTTTGTTGACATGTCACTAAGTTCTGGTTGAAAACAATTACCTATCTGAAAAACAAAACTCAAAATTGACACAATTAATTTGACTTAATATTTTGAGGACTTTACAATATCAGAAAATGAAACGCTATTTCTACCTTAAAATCAATAGTCTAAGTAATATATGTTTAATTTTAATATATTTCTATTGAACATTTAAAAAAAAAGCTCCTATGTGTAATCAATTTAAAATACGTAACAGCTTAAAAATGAAACTTAAACATATACTTTTTCGATAAAGACTAAATTAATCTATTCGAATGCCATACACTGTATGAATAGTGTACTATATGGTACCTACCTTTATTAGGAACTGTTTAATATAGTAGTTTATATATAATTGAAATATCCTACTAACAACGTAACAGACAACGCGAAAATTGTACTAAGCGAATAAAAAGAGTAATAAATGCTATAAAGGCGTATTTAAAAGATACTGTAACATCCGTAAGTATGTACAGATAAGAATGGCGAAGAAATTATAATATTGTTTGGTTTTCTTTTCTTTTCTTAGACCAAGTGAAAGATTTCCCATCGTTTATTAGACGTAACACAGCCCAGTATGATACAATTAAACATTTATTTTTTCTAAAACGATTTCATTCACATATAACACATTATTTACGCCATAAATATAACGTTGTAACTACTTATTATGATGCTTGTTTGTTTTAATAATATATCTAACTGATTACCAGGTAGGAGTTTTCAAATTTAAATTGACAAATGGTTAAAGTTTATAAAGATTATATACGCAATATAAAATTGAAACATTTCAAAAAATAAATATTTATTAAATTATTTATTAATCAAAACAATATTATAATAACTAATATTGATGTTAATTAAATACAATTAAACCACGAAAAAAATAATTTCACTAAAATAATTTTAATAATTCTGTATAAACACATGACCACCCATGATTAATTTTATTTAGCTTTATTTTTATTAGAGATAAAATATATTTTATACAATTGAAATTAAATACAAATGTTGTAAGTTAGAAAAAAGTTAAAATACGCCGATAATATTATATAAATAATGTGAAAAATATGTTTTTTCACTCGAAAATAATTGATAACTATCAAAATATGATTTCATAAAAAATTTTAAAAAGATACTATTAGGTAAATAATATTCCAAAATTTAAATATATAAGTATTATTTTCTCACAACTGACAAAATATTTAAAAATATTATGTACAAAATAAGACTAAATATTCCTTAACCCCTAATATATTCTAAAATATAACAAGACAACTTTTTTCTGTTCACTTGATGTTGAACTAATTGTTCATAATTCTTACTTTTAAAAACTGCTATTATATTATATGCTCACTGCTCAGTATTATGATAATATTATAATAGGTAATGTTTAAAAATCCAGACCTTCATTAAAATAAAATGTTATCGAATTATACGACCTACACATGATGTTGTATATTACTTATCTATATATTATACTCATACTTTTATGATATTTATACATTTTAAGTTATATATATAACTCTTATACATTTGATCACTGATTAATCGTGGTTTTTTAATCCATTCTGGTCCAGAAAATACATGAAACGATAATAAAAATGAACCTTTGGACCTTAGACGCTTATTATAATGATATTGTATCCATCGTATCATAAAAATATTCATAATCACAGTTAGTTCCTCAATAGTCCCTTCTCAGCTTAGTGTTTGAGATTTTATAACGTTTAATGGCTCAAAATGGGTTTATGATGCTACGCGAATTTCCCGACTGACTGTACACAC